ATTTTTTATTATATATTATATTCTATGTATTATTAACCCTTTCGACTCGGATGCCTCCGCTCCGGCTGCAAAATACATATAAATTCCAGAATTTGCTAATGGAAAGGGTTAAATCATAGTTTGTCAAAACTTATAGTTTATAGTATCTATATACAAAAAGAGAGCAAAAATTATTTATGAGTAAAATAGTTTAAAGTGAAAGGTTTTTTTACACTATTGTAGGTAAAATGGTTATTATAAATTTAATTTAGTAATATGTTAAAAAATGACACTGACTAAATAAAACATAGTCGTATGTAGTCTTAAAATATTTTTATATTTTTTTACGAATTTTAATTTTTGTTCTTCATCAAATTAATTCTTATATAAAATAATACTTCATAAAATAATTGATCGATAATTATATTAAATCTCTTTATTTTATTATTTATTATATTAAATTTTTTCAAAAAATTGGATCTAGGCATATAAGCAACAAATTAATAATATGCTCTAACTTAGCTAGAAGATTAATATCATATTAATATTAGAAATCAATAACCTAAAGTAATTAAATGAAAAATATTAAAAATTTTTCAGAATTTATTAACAATTTGATTAAAAGTTTTCCAAACTGGAAATTTCATATATAAATATGAGGCACGTGAAAATTTGAAAAATCTAGGCTGTATTCCTAATCAAATTCATGAAATTTGTTTTGTTCCTAAAGAAGGGAACAAACTAATAATCTCAAAACGTCGAAAATATTTATAAAAAAAACATTTTTTTTTAGATTTTAGTTCTGAAAAATAGAGTTATATATATGTAGAGGCTGCGCAATAGAAGTACTTTTGCTTTCTACAAAAGCAAGCTTGAAATAATAATTTGTTTTTATTTTATGAAACAAAATACAAAATGAAAAAAATCAATACCTAGGAATAAAATTCTTAACAAAAATATTTGGTAAACTATTTAACCTTTGTCATTTTAAGTAGATGATTGTTAGGAATACACTATAAATCCTCTTCCCCCACACACACATATATATAATATATATATATATATATATATATATATATATTCTCCTAGCTTCAGATATTTTTAGTTCTTTTTACATCATTTGTATATTTCTAGAAGTCAATCAGATGTTACATCAATATTTATTATTCTTAGGAATACCTCAACTCCCGAATGCACTCAGAAAATTGACATGCAAAATAATTCTTTTAAATCTGTCTTGTATCCGTTACAAAAATAACAGATTTTAGTAGAACAACTATTAGTAAACGAAATACGCGAAATAAATACCAACTACATACCATCAAAAATAAAAACTACTTACAACTTCCCAGGATGTGTAAATAATAGACTTAATAGATGAGAATTCATACTTAACCATTTTTTCTGATATACTATTGTAATTTTATTAGTTTAAAACGCTTTATTAGTTTAAAATCATGTGTTAAATTTTTAAACTCCTAAGTTTTTAATTTGCATTAATTTTTGCCTCAAATTAAAATTTCTCTATCTAAGTACGTAATTTACTAAATTGCTTAATTATGGTGTAAATAGCAGAATGTCATCTCAGCAAGTCTTCATAGCTGATAATGATTGTGTTATTTATGATGTAATTATATATTAGTAACCCCTCGAATCATATAGCGCCCTATGAGAGTTAGTACGGGAGCCAACGACCCAAAATTAATAATGAACTCCGAGTTTTTTATTAGAAGTCAACCTAGTAGTTATCTAGTTCCATATCTCGTTTTTATATTCTTAAGTGAAATCTCGTATCAGTACTGCTTGTTATATTTCAAACAACTACACTTGCACTTTCCAAAAACTAACTAATTGTTTCAGAAAAAAATTGAAATGTTTGAATAACACTTTTTATGGTATGCCAAACTTATTATAAGACAAGCGTAAAGACATCAACAAATTTTTACTTTTCACTTGTGATTTTTTTTAAGCACCTCATAGGCAGTTAAACTATGAAATATGAAAAATCCGTCTGGAAAAAAATGAAAATATACTAAACTACCTAGGTTTAAATTTAAACGTGTTTGATGGCACTTTTTGGAAACTTGGTCAGTCCTATTTAAAACTGGATCAGCCCTTTTGAAAACTGGATTAGTCCAGATTCCTTAAAATTTTGCAGTAAATAATTTGTAACAATTGATATCAAATAACTACAAATATGCCTTCTAAATTAAATTTTCTATTTATTATTTTATTTATTATTATTATCCTCAAGCTCTATCTCTAAAACACTGTAGACTTTTGCTGCATGTCGAGATGTTTATATTTAGACAGAATTAGCATATATATTGAAGGAAATTTTACATCAGTACTTTATATGTGTTCGAATTATCTCAATGGTCGAGACGTTTATAGTTTGACAATAAAATTAAAACACTTTGTCGACTGCAATTACGATTTGGAAATTAAGATCGTAGAAAATTAAAGATATACCCCAGCGATAAAAAATATACTTGAAATAGTAAAAATGTGATCAAAATTTTAAGATGATAAGATAAGAGTAAACTAGTAGTGTATGGCATCGAGCCTTAAGGCAAATTGCTGGAACTTGCCGTACCGTAATGAAATGTTCGAGAAATTTTAAACGTTTTCAAATATATTATTACAAATACTGTAACTTTCATTATTTTTGCTATCTTAATTGTTATATCTGAGCAAATCAAATGTAAATCATAAAGCAATTTATCTACAGAACATTAACAATCGTCATTTCATTTCGAATTCAATTTCAAAAAAATAGTTGTATAATCTAATTTACATAAAATTGAAAAAGTGCTCCCGTATAGTCACAGTCTAAGCATTTACAAATAATTCTGTGCGACATTTTCACTTATACTGTGCTTAGCTTGGTGGCATTTTCACATTTTTCAAAAGTTTTCACCAAACTGGAAAATAAACAATAAATAAACTGGGTAATACATAAACAGTCTAAATGCACTTGGGTAAACATTTGTACCAGAGTGGACTGTGCTTAGTCTAGGTCATTTTTTTGAATTTTCAATCCAAAATTACAAAAATATTTTATGGAAAATAAAAAAATTGGTGATAATTTTTTATCCTCAAAAGCAATTGTTTTGTCAATACAAGCAGAAAGTTCTTTAGATCATTCAAATCGGACGCTCAGTTCACTCAAAAACTGCCATTTTTTACACATTTAGCTCTATTTCTCCAAAACCGCTTGACCTGCCTTTGCCAAAAACTAATCAGCACATCTCCTTATCAATAGGAATCGAATGTTTTTTGAACCATTTAAATCGGTTGATCCGTGCGCCCGAAAACGTGACTGGAAAATTGTATCCATACAAACATACACAAACACACACATACATTTGTTCTGAGGTATGCCAAAATGTTCAAAAACCTTTAAAACGTCGAGAAATGTAAAAATTTTCAATTTCGATTTTTGGACGATTACAATAACTTACCCTACGGGATGTTAAAAATGTTCTTAATAGTAAAAATGTGATCAAAATTTCTTTATTTTAAGATGACAGTTGTGATTGAAATAAAACAGTGAGTAATCTCAAAAGATTTTAATAATCTCTAAAAGGATTGTAATGAAAAGCAATAAAACTCTGGAAAAAGGAAAGATTTCCTTACCCATTGAAAACTTCTTAATTTGTACATTTCCTGGACATTTACAGAAGTACAAAAAGCTTTTAAATGGACTAATTTATGTGTCTGTCAAGATTAAGAGAGGTTTCTTAGAACAAAACAAGGAAATCTCATAACTGTACAGAATGTCGTTTGTGTTTTTGGTTTTATCAAAATATTTTCCTAATGGTAACTGAAAACTCGAGTTACCTTTAACTCCAGGAAATAAATTTTTTGAAGTAAAACTTCTTTGGGCGGGACTAGGGTGTAAATCCGTACAAATGCAACGGAAGTGCGTTACGGCAGATAAGATAAGATAAGAGTCGAGTGCCAAAGATTCGTCATTCGCTCTCGACGATATCATTTCTATACGGGTCGATTATGATTAGACGTCGTGTATGTGAATGGAGATCTGTCGTTGTATGCGTACCGGCATCAACGTTGTATGAGTACCGATATCAACAAGAAAATCAGCATAGATAAATAAACATTTTAAAGTAACATCGTAGCACAAGTCTTGATTTAAGGAAAAATGCCTGAATCATAAGAATATTTTACCCTGTTCCTTGAAAATAATAAAACAAATTAAACATTTGTGCCGTGTACTAAACGTAAGTTTATTAGAAGTTATTTCTATATTATTCGTAGTTTCTATAAATCTTTGAAGTTATTAAAATGGAAAATATTTTTTAGGCAAGACAGATATTACAGTTGTTCAAAGAATGAGATTATTTCCCCAGCGAAAAAGTAAAAAAAAATACCATCAGTCAATGAATGTATGTAAATTTTAATTACATGAAGTTTTTCAAACACAATTATCACATGATGAGTGAAATTGTGAAAACAACATTTCTTTAGGCGTTGTTTAACATAATCTCTTGTGTGAACAAATATTATAGAATTTATTAATCAGCAATCACGACATTTCTCTAATGAAAGTTCATTTCTAAATTCTAATTACAATGACAAACCGATCATGTCATATTTGAAGTATGACTTTAATTACATTATTGTTTTTAAATATTATAAATATTTTTAATGCCATTATAAATTTATAATTTATAATTTATCATTATATAAATATGTATAATGGTTGAGACTAATAAATGTGTGCATCACGAGTGTTACCACCATATTACTAATAAACATTATTCAAATTTGTTGTATGATGTATTTATTTTTACTTAAAAGCCATCTTGTACAGTAGCAAATAAGTTTTACTTCAATCGCATGTGAACCTTACGCGCACTATTTTTTTTGTGATTTTTTTTCTTCGAATATATTTTTAAGTCTTATCAATAATGATGAAGAAAGTAATACATAAGACTGGAACAATACTGATATACTGATATATTAATATTTTTAGATAATATGTATATGAAATTTACCTTATACATGTTGACCTGTCCCTCCATGGTTTCTCAACCCTCTCAGACAGCCCTTCGTCGGCTTAAAGTATAATCCTTTAATGGCCCCATGTATAAGTTAGCACTTTGGCCTGTCTGGGGGTTTATTTCGTAACACCTGGTAATAGAATTATGTAGGTATATTAATACATCGAAATATCATTTATATTAGAGAAGATACAAAATGACAGTCATAATGTTTTATTAATAATCCAAAAGATAACAAGTGGTGTATGGCATCGTGCCTTAAGGCAAATTGCTGGAACTTCCCATACCGTAATGAAATATTCGAGAAATTTTAAACGTTTTCAAATATATTATTACAAATACTGTAACTTTCATTATTTTTGCTATCTTGTTATATCTGAGTGAGCAAATCAAATGTAAATCATAAATCAATTTATCTCCAGAACATTAACAATCGTCATTAAATTTCGAATTCAATTTCAAAAAAATAGTTGCCCAATTTACATCAAATTGAAAAAGTGCAGTCTAAACGCATTTGCAAATAATTCTGTGCGACATTTTCACTTATACTGTGCTTAGCTTGGCGGCATTTTCACATTTTTCAATAGTTTTCACAAAATTGGAAAAAGTGCTCCATTACATAAAGAGTCTAAAGGCACTTGGTTAAACATTTGTACCACAGTGGCGCTTAGACTGTGCTTAGCCTGGGTAATTTTTTGAATTTTTAATCCGAAATTACAAAAATATTTTATGGAAAATAAAAAAAGATGTGATATTTTTTTATCCTCAAAAGCAATTGTTTTGTTAATACAAGCAAAAAGTTTTTTAGATCATTCAAATCGGACGCTTAGTTCACTCAAAAACTACCATTTTTTGCATATTTAGCTCTGTATCTTCGAAATGGCGGGACCTGTCTTTGCCAAAAACTAATAACCACTTCTCCCAATCATTACAAATTGAATGTTTTTTTTAGATCATGTCAAATCCGATACTTCGTTCTCTCAAAAACTTGATTTCTATTTTCTGCACTCTTTGCTCTTCATCTCCGTAACTGCTGGACCTGCCATTGCCAGAAACTAATCAGCACATCTCCCTATCAATAGAAATCGAATGTTTTTTAAACCATTCGATTCGGTTGATCAGTGCGCCCGAAAACGTGTACGATAAAATGCAGACATACAAACACACACACACATCCATTTTTCTGAGGTATGCGAAAATGTTCAGAAACCTTCAAAACGTCGAGAAATGCAAAAATTTTCATTTAAGATTTCGGCCCATTACTATAACTACCATACGGGAAGTTAATACAGATATTATAAGTATATTTGAACAACATCAATTGGAAATCGTAATAATTATTTTTTTAGTGAGAGCGAAAATTTTATTTTTATCTAAATACCTGAAAATTAATTATTAATTTTCGAAGGAGAATTTTATGTTTTCATCAAAAAATCCGATTTGCTAATTTTATGTTTTCTCGACGTTTCAAACCATTCTGAATCGAATGAGAATTTGGAAAAAGTATGTGCGTGTGAGTATGTGTATATGAATAGACTTTTGACCTTTTGTCGACTTTTTCTCAAAAACGGCTGAACCGATTTCAAAAATTTAAAAGCCATTCGATGTAACTCGATAAGGACTAATCTAAATATATAAATCCCAATTTTGGTTGACCAAGTCAATTATAACAAATTCCTGAAAAATCATGCAACTCGCCTTAAGGCAAAATGCCACTTACAACCAATTTCCTAATACATTTAATTACAACAATTATTTTCTATTCTCAGGCAAAGCCGTTCCCTTCGTAGAATTAACCGTGGCCCACGCCTCTGTCCTAACAATTCTGGCCATAAGTTTCGAGAGGTACTACGCCATCTGTGAACCGCTACGAGCAGGCTACGTCTGCACTAAGGCTAGGGCCACACTTATATGCGCTTTGGCCTGGCTACTGGCAGCTGTCTTCACGAGGTAAATGATAAATGAATTATTTGATAAATTTGGTTTAACAGAAATATTAATTTTAACACGTTAATAGCCATGTCAGTCATATGTGAAAAGTTCTACATGAGCCATGTCAGATATGTATGGCTTACCGATTTGGTCGATGGCTATGAACAAGTTTTGATATACGGTCATGTCAGTCATATATGTGTGACATAAAAAATAGTGTTTTTCCAGGAATTTTAGCAAAAAATATGTTTTTCTTTGATACATTAAATTTCCTGGAATTTTAGCAAAAAATATTTTTTTTTGATACATCAAGTTTCCTGGATACATTTTTAACTAAATTATCTAATAAAGTTACCTTGGCCCATGTGAAATTTTTTCGTATATCATCGTGGCGTTTAACGTGTCAAGGTTCTGGATATCCAAAGTAAGACTGTACCAACTCAAAATATATACAAAATTATAATTTTTCGATACAAAAGTAAAGTTTTTAAATATAAATTAAACACGAATCTAGAATTAAACCCGAGGGGTAAATTTACGTGCTACTGTTAGTGACGAACTCTATGGAGTAAGCGAAAAATTAAAATTGAAATAATGGCAAAGCGGTAGTGTTTACGATCTAAGATAGATTTTTTTTTCATATTTTGAGTTGGTACAGCTCTAAATTAATAAAAATGATGTACTTTTCAGCAAATTAATAAGTTTCTAGCTTAAATTAATAAAAAACAGAAAGGGTTACAGAAAACCTTCAGGGCTTGGTGATTGGGTGTGAATTTTCAGCTTTTATGGAAATTATCTTCTGCATGTTTATGAAGAACTTATATCTACACTATTCGGATATGAGGATATATTAACATAACAAATGTATATATATATATATATATATATACATATATATATATATATACATATATATATATATATATATACATATATATATATATACACATATATATCGATTACCGCCATATGCACATTTGTAATATTAATTGAATTACAAATTCTATTAAAAATGACTCGATAACTGGAACTAATTAGTTTCGGACAAATATTAATAATGAATCGGGAATTGAAAAGCCGGCCAACAGCTTTTGTTGACTTTGAAATTTATATTTTCCAATAATTCTGCCGTCGATATAAATCGGGTGCACTAATTGAAAAACGTTCGACTGAATTGGTTAACGAGATGAATAATAAATGGTGAAATGATATTTCACGAGAGAATATTTATAAATTCACTACATTTTAGTGTATAGCCTGAAAGGTCCGCGGGTAAAAAGGTCCACTACCGAAGTAAAGTTAGGAATTTTTCAACAACAATATTTGAAAGTAGAGGGCAAAAGCTGTATAACCAGTCATCACCACAATACTTACAACGTCGCCATAAGGAGATAAATGACATTGTTTGAAAATCCTTAACAAACGTATTTTCTTTCGTTGTCTGGTTTTAAGTTCTGAGCACTATTGTTTAGTTTGTGAGACCTCAATATAATTTTTAAGTATTCGTTATTTATTGTTTTATAAGATGTATTATTAATTTTGAGTTACATTCAACAGTTTTTTAAATAACCTCTATAAAAGCGTACACGTGGGTGGCGTAAAAAGGACCAACTGGACCTTTACTCTGGTAAAAGGGTAAAAAATACAAAATAGTAAAATGAAGATACTACAGTTTTTGATAAAGAACTAGATATAATACAAATCTAGGGTAAAATTATCCACTTTCTCAATTCTTTCAATCTTAGTCGTTTAACTAAATAATTTTACTAGAGGTGCATCTTAAGGCAAATTGCTGGAACGTTCCGCACCGTAATTAAACATTCGAGGAATGAAAATATTCAATAATTGTTTTAAATAATTTAAAATAGATTATTTATTATAAACACATACTAAAATCGATTTTTAAAATTTTTTGAGAATTTGAAAATTTTTGAAAATATTTGATTTTTGTTTAAATTTTCGAAAAATTCTCAAATTTTTCTAAGAAATCGATTTTTTATAAAAATTTTTATTTGATTTTTGATTTTTATAAAACACATTAAAGACTATTAATGTGTCCCAGGAACATTTATATGTGGTGGTATTATTCTTTTTTTTCATTAGGATTTTTTTTGCCGGGTCAGCTAGTATATATATATATATATATATATATATATATATATAATATATATATTCATACCTATATATTTAATAGACAAGCCCTGGATTTTTTCAATAAATATGTTTCTTTTCCGAACAATAAATCCAACAAATACAAAACAATTTGTTTTTTAAAGATGTTTAATTACGACGTTTCGGAACTTGTTACGTTCCATCATCAGGTTTTGTCTATCAAAAACAATTTTCATATAGAATAACTTTATTAATGACGAAGAATACAGAATATTAAATAAAAACGTCTTTTAATACAAACGATAATGAATTATGTACCACACAAAAAAGCACATAAAAATGGAAAATCGAAAGTTAAAAAATATAGAAAATAAAAAATAAAATGGAATAGAAAAGAATATGTATCTGCAATATTGATGTATATATCCATATCACTATTTTTTTGTTAGAAACACTTGCAAATATTTTTTTCGAAAAATTTGACTTCACACGGCTATGTTACTGTTTTTAATGCATATATATATATATATATATATATATATATATATATATATATATATATATATATATATTGTGGGTAACTTCCACCGCCACAAATTGAAATGCAGTACAAGTGGCACTAACCATAAATAACGATTGCATGGACCGTGGGCAATAAGTTAAGAACGGAACCGGCAGCACGGAACGCAACCATTTACACTTCCCGTCAAAACCAATGCAGCCAACTTGACTTCGCACACACAACACTATAAATTCTTAACGGAAGCTTTGCACAACCTGACACGATATATGGCTTTAATTAAGTGCGAGTCCTACTACTTGTCGATTTATAAAAGTTGATAAAATGTTAGTTGCAAGTCGTTCGTATTACACTTTATTTATTAACTTTACGTGGGGTAAGTTATTGCGTAATCGTCCAAAAATTGTAAATGAAAATGTTTGCATATCTGTACGTTTCAGGGGTTTCTGAAGATTTCGGCATATTTCAGAAAAAATGGATCTGTGTGTGTGTGAATGTATGTGTGTAAATGTATCTTTAATTCTCGCCAATGGAGCATAATTTAATCAAGGTCTATATATAGTGAATTAGCGCGAGGATTTAGAATTTTCATGGATCTGCTTAACTTTACGACAGACATTTCTGAGGTAATGTCTCTTCCACGGAAATCCAGGATTTCCTTAAGTCATCGCAAAATTCACCTATCTACTGATTAATGTATGAAGATGTCGAAGAGTGAAGAAAGGGACGGTTAATATAAAATTGGTGAAACTAGTGGTGCATGGCATCGGGCCTTAAGGCAAATTGCAGAAACTTCCCGTACCGTAATGAAATGTTCGAGGAATATTAAATGTTTTCAAATAGATTATTATAAATATTGTAACATTGTCTAATATTTATAAGAATTATATAAACTGAATCGCGAAGTTAATATTATTAATTTAAAGTATATAAGTGAGCTTTAGAACACTAGCAAAAATTAAAATTAAAATCTGAATTATTTTCGACACACAAAAAAAAATTATAAAAAAAATTAATTTTAAGCAAGCACAAACAGAAAGTTTTTTAAATCATTTAATTCTCTCAAAAACTGCCATTTTTTGTACATTTGGCTCTGTTTCTTAGAAACGGCTGGCCTGCCTTTGCCAAAAACTGATCACCTCTTCTCCCCATTATTATGAATTGAATGTTTTTTAGACAATTCAAATCAAATGCCCTGTATCTCCAAAGCGGCTGGACCTACTTTTGTCAAAAACTAATTAGAATGTCTCCCTATCAATAGGAATCGATTTCTTGTTGAATCATTCAAATCGGTTGTATATCGGTTCAAACAAAAATTGTATTAAGGCAAGTTGCATGAACTTCCTTAAGGCAAAGGCTTTCTGATTTAATTTACTGAAAATGAGATTTTGATATTTAGATAAAATTTTTAACTGACCGATTTAGTCCTCATATGATTTGAATTAATTTACCTTTTGTTTATAAAACTAGAGGAATTTAGTAGACTTATTTATCAGTTGATGCCATAAAAATAGCTTCTAAAGTTGCGTTATTCAAATCATCACATTACAAACACAAATTTCATTCAAAATTTGACTTTCATCATTCATCGTTTTTGTCAAACTTTGGTGAATTTTTTAAATTAAACTACTTGTTGTAGGGCCGTAAAATTTAGGAATGTCCTTTAGGATTTTTTTAGGATCAACATAAAAAATTTTATCAAAAAAAATTTCAACAGTTAATTACGAAGAAAATGACTCAGCCGATCTTGTCCAAAACTAATCTGGACGACTCTCAAATAATATCTTTCGAATTTTTAAAATCGAATGAAAATTATTTTTTAAAACGTGGATTAAAAATTTTTCATTTATCTGCTATTTACGATTAATTAATTAGTCAACGAAAGGGTCAAAAATCGGTTCACTTACACACACACACACACTGATTTTAGAATGGCTTGAAACGTCGAGAAAATTAGCAATCGGATTTTTTTATGTTTTAAAAAAATTCTGTATTTTTAGAAAAGACAGCTTCACACAATATTCAAATTTTTCAATATTTTCAAATTTTCAAAGATGTCCAAATAAAAAAAACTAAATTCTCAATAAGAATCTAATACTTCTTCTCGGAAAAGTGAGCTTTTAAAATTTTTAAACTATGGTACGCGAATTTCCAAAAATTTGCCTCAACGTACGATCCATGCACTACTAGATATTTATTAGGAATAGCATTTTAGCTCGACGTATTTTCTGTAACATCATGATAAAATAATATATATTTATATATATATATATATATATATATATATAATATTCTTCGAGTATATTTAAATTCGTCTATAAGACTCAGTTCAAGTTCATTATCAATTCATGTGTTCAACTATAGAAGAATATTCTGGTCGATAACC